TTCCAGACCTTGCCCTGGGGAGGCCAGATTTCAATCATTGGGGGTGGATCTCTTAGTCCGACTCGGGCTAACCTGTCATTGCTGTATTCCCATGGGTGGTATCTGTCTAGCATGTATCTGGGAAGTTAAGGAATAGCGGTGTTGTCCTCTTTGAGTCTGGAGGCTTGTGCTATGGACTTCCCAGTGAGTGTGTGAAGTGGGACCGTCCCTGCCCTCACTGAATCTTTTTAGTTTGAGCTATCAGTGGCTCTGCTGATATCTGGTTCCCAACTAGGTTAACACCTAGGGCATAAACTCCAGGAGGCCAGGGACCTTGTGTGCCAAGTTCACTGCTGTGTTCACAGAACTGTATCTGGGTATCGTGGGGGCTCAGTACACATTGTTTGAGTCTGTGTCTGATGGGCCCTCTGCTTACACTGATGCCTTCAGTTGTAGCGAGCTGTGTGGTGTCACACCTGATGGAGATGTATAATCAACTCCTGAGATGGCTAAGGCCTGACCTATGCTATGATCACGCAATGATTATCAGCTGCCTGCATATGCGTGAACCATGGGCAGTGCCCACCTGGCAGTTCGGGGTTGGCAGCCCATGCCTACTTAAGGGCTGGGAGAGGTTTGCCCGGAGAGAGAGAGGAGAGAGAGAGAGAGAGAGAGAGAGAGAGAGAGAGAGAGAGAGAGAGAGAGAGAGAGAGAGAGAGAGAGAGAGAGAGAGNAGAGAGAGAGAGAGAGAAAGAGAGAGAGAAAGTGAATAAAGTCCTGGAATAAACTGCAGTGAGAAGAGCTCCGGTGGTCGCGTCATCCTTGCGGGTCGAGGGTGGCCGAGGCATTCAGTCTGTGTCACGTTAACTATACTGTTTTCTGTCCTGTTTCTTTTGCATAAAATGCTGTCTACCCTAGCCCCCAGTCCCCAGTTTATATTACGCTATTCCTGCTGTGCCTTTTAGCTCCTTCCCCATTTCAGGTCTGAGCTTAAATGTCCCCCTTTCACCTGCATTTCCTTGCTGTCCATATGCAAATGCTCTTGTGCTTGGATTATATGTTTTCATAATACCCTCCAAGACATATGCCGTAGTTTATAGTTACACATAGCGAGTAAAGCTCTACATTTAACTTAACTCTTGGCAAAGGCAGAACCTTCATCTGTTACTCCCTAATACCCTCCCAGGGCTTAGGACAAGGGCTCAGGAAATATCTGTGAGCAGATGAGTTCTTTTACCTCCCTGCTGACATTAAAAAAAAAAATCCCTGGAGTAGTAGACTCTGCTGCAGCTAGTATTGTGGTTGCATGAAGGTGTTTCTCTCCATCCCCAGTGCTCATAACATCATCTCAGCATCCCTAGTCCCACAGCATCTCAGAAAAAGTGATGCATTTTCCCTCTGGGTTTGCACAGCTCCGTTGGCTCCTCCAGCACCCCAACCCTAAGTCTGGGACCAGTGTTGCTGCTTTGAAGGCCTCAGGCTTCCTGAGTGTCCTCTATAAAAGCCTTTGCTTCCAGTAATTTATTCAGCATCTGCCTCCTTCCCTCCCTCCTCAGCACACAGTCCCCTGCCCCTCCTAAGGATCATGTTAACCCAGAACTGAATGAATCATTCACTGGGAACCTAGAGAAAGGTGGAAACATCCAAACCCCTAATGCGTTTCCCCAAGCAGGAGGTGGGCATGGCAGAAATCTGAGGCTAGACAAAGAGCTCCAGGGTTGGAGGTCAGAGCAGAGGGAAGTGTCTCATCAAAGCCCCTGCAGGCTGTGCACTGCTCCTGGTCTCTTCACGCCCAGCCTGTCTCATGAATGGCTGCTCTGAAGATGAGACATGCAAGAGTGACCAGAAACTCTGCTTGCATCCCTCCGTCTTGCTCCATCCTCCTCTAGTCTTCCGTTCCGCTGACCAGAATGGCTCAGGCTGTCTCACTGGGCCTTTCCTTGTCAGTATTGACTTTCAGCTCTCGCCACCGACATCCTGTGGACTCCACGGTTCCGATGAATAGCAAGATCATCAAAGAGGGGCATGAATGAAAAACGGCTTTCTGTCATGCCTTCAAAGTGTCTTTTCAGAAGTTCAAAGGCTGTGGAGAGGAGGCAAGGGAATCAAAGGGGATGAGGGAGGGCAGTGAATTCTCGGAGGAATCATTGGGGTTTTCACTGTATATTTTCTACAATAATTGTGATGTAAAAAAAAAAACCTAAATACCCCAACACACATACACGTACACACACACACACACAAATGCACTCACGCGTGTGCACACACACAGGCTCTCTATGAGTAGATTAGATGCAGAAAATGGAGCAAGCCACCTTACTGGCCTAGGCCTTCGTCTGGGTATATTAAGTCACCCATTTTATATCTGCGTTTCCTGTTTGGACTTCAATCGAATATTTTGATCTGGGCAAAGGCTGTGTCCAGAGATAGAGATTGAATGCCGCTTATGTAGTTCGATGAACATGAATAATTTAATCTGTGCAGAAATTCCCCATTACCTCTTCCATTTGAAGACAAGCTAGCGTCCAGCTGCAGCAATGAATATGCAGAGTTGGGGAAAGACCTGGCCCAGATCACAAGTTGCCAGAAACTTCTGTTCTGATGAGCTGGAGAACCGGGTTTCTGCTCCTGGCTGCAGGTGGCTATAATTGGTATCCCAGGAGAAGCCCTACCGATATTCTCATGCGGCTTGTGCCCAACCCACCCAGAAGTGTGTCAACACAGCGTCTGGCATGTAGAAGGTGCTTGAGGGAAGTGAACATGTGGTCTGAGAAAAAGCTTTATTTGCAGAATCCTGGAATCTATTCTCTCCTGACTGTCTTTCTTGGCTTAGTCAGGCCCAGGAGTTAAGGGCATTTTGGGGGGATGAGAGTTGAGTTCCTACACTGCCCAAGTCTGCAGAGGATTTAATCACAAGAGATTCACTCTGATTCAAGCCGGGTTGGTATGGGAGGGATTTCTCTTGATTAAATATTGAAAACCAACTGTAGATTTGGCTCTTGCTTGACTGGTTTCAGCGTAAGAGGTGTGCACACAGTTCTTTAGGATGGTCCTATTTTGTCCCAGCTTGGCTATTCCCCCCCCCCCCCAGCTTCTTCCTTTTCAAATAGTATCCCCTAGGGTGGCGAGTATGGAAGAGGTTGTGTTTGATGGTGAAGAACAAGTTCCTGGAGCTAGAAACAGCCGTGGGTCTAAGCTCTACGTCCGCACTCATCAGCTGTAGCACCGCAGACGAGGCTTGGTTTCCTTGTTAATTAATTTTGTTGTTTTGGGAATTGAACCCAGGATTTTACAAAATATTAAGTATATGCCCTTCCACTTACTCTCATCCCCAGTTTTTTTCTTTAGCTGGAAATGATAAGAATTGATATAGCTAAAATTTATATTCTTCTCTGTTCTCTCCATGTTCAGCTCACTAACCTGCTAGATAATGTTTGAGAGCGAGCCTTCCTTTAGCTCCATTTTATGAGCGAAGAAACTAGAAGGCCTAAATGCTACTAGCCAGGCAGCATGGCTAGTACTATCGACCTTTGAAATATCTTATCTCGCTTCACATAAGAGAACTTATAACTTACAGGGTCGATGGGGAAATTAGATGCAGTGTTGTTCCTTAGAACCCATGGCAATTCTTTGCATGTGGGTCATTTAATTTCATCTTTAGAGGGAAAAATACGTTATTCTGTGCTTCAGGCCTGTATTCTGTGCTCTCAGTGACATGAGCAGAGATGGGACGTGTCTTTCTCTGGTTTCACAGAGCTCTCCAAACTGGGTCTTTACTCCTTAGGTCACAGGGCACTCCGTTGTTGAAACAGCATTTTACCTGAGCCATTGGGGTGCGAACCTGATGTGCCCTCCCCAGAGCTGGGGGGAATTGACAGCCTCTGAATCAGAGGTAGGATCGCTACCAATTAGGGGAAAAGCACAGAGGTGCCTGCACTCACTAGAGAGGCTGCCTTGATTTCTCCGGAAGAAGACACTTTAGATTGGGGAGCTACGTGAGAAAGTGGTCTCCATCCAGCCTCTTCTCAATCCTGCCCCGTTCTCCTGCACCAAGAAGCAAAGAGGGGAAAAATCTGAACTGTTGAGGAGGAAGTAGGTCCTGATGGCCCTGCTGTTGCCTTGCTCAGAGGAGATTAAGTCCGGAAGTCCCTGTTAGCTCCCTCAATCTGCAGGAGGTAAGTCGGACGTAATTACCCAACTGGCGTGTGGGCAGGCCTGGCAGCCATCCTGTGAGGGTGCTGGGCAAGCATTCACAACCACTAATGATGTCCCTGAAGGCCTTGGTGCTGCTCAGAGAGGAGGCCACCAGACCCAGAGTCCCCGTTCTCAAGGCCTGGGTGAGTCAGATCTCAACCTGATTCACCAGTCTCACTTCCGTACTCCCTGGTGGTCCTGCCCGCATAGCCACCACACCCAGGCTAGTGCTGACCACTGGGGCCAAAATTAGCCCCAGAGACAATATGGAAGTCTTGGTCTACACTGAGTTACCAAGGAGCCCGATACCACTTTTCTTGTTTCTGTGTCCCCCACCACTTTCCCCTTGCTTGGTTTTTGATGCCTGAGCATTTCCTTCCGTGCTAACTATTGCTGGGCACCTGAGATCAGGTCAGATGACCGTGAGGTGGGTCCTCGTGCCACAAAGACAACAGATGCTAGAGGCTTAGCTACTTTCTCCTTGATGTGGAAGAGTCAAATCATTCCAAATGCAATTTGCCAGACCGGGTCCGAAGACGAAGACTATGTCTAAGCTGCCAACCCCTCTCATCTTCCGTGTTCTAATGACCGGGTGTGATGGCGCATGCCTAACACTCTGAAGGTTGAGGCAAGAGGACTGTGAATTTTAGATCAGCTGCAAAACAAAACCCAGTCTTGGGGCCAGGGAGATGATCCGTGGGTAAAGCATCTTCTACATACGTATGAGGACCGAAGATTCAGATTAGAACGCGTGTGGAGGCGTGTAGGTGTGTGGCCCACTGGTTATTACAGAGGAGGCAGAGGCATTGCTGATTTTGATACGCTTTATTTTTTTTTAATTATATGTTTATGTTCGTGTATGTGTGCGTGCACACGTGTGTGCATGCATGCGTGCATAAGGGGATCTGAGTGTGAGACCAGATGCCCACAGATGTGGAGAGCGATTTGAGGAAGACACCTGATGCCAACTTTGAGCCTCCACATGTGCAAGCATGCAAATGCACCTACAACACACTTATGAACACATACACACAGAGGCGTAGAGACCTGAAATGCCACCCACGCAGGTGCAGAGCTGCTAGATTATGCCTGTCACCCCAGTGCTGAGGGAGCAGAGACAGGTGGATCCTCTTGGCTTGCTGGCCAGACAGCCTAGCTGAACCACTGTGCTCCAGGTTCCATGAGAGACTTGTCTTAAAATGTAAGGCGAGGAGTGGTAGAGGAAGACACGCCACACCAAATTCTGTTGGATGTGTCCACACATGTTGGATGTGTCCACACATGTTGGATGTGTCCACACATGTTGGATGTGTCCACACATGTTGGATGATGTGTCCACACATGTTGGATGTGCACACACATGTTGGATGTGTCCACACATGTTGGATGTGCACACACATGTTGGATGTGTCCACACATGTTGGATGATGTGTCCACACATGTTGGATGTGTACACATGCGCATCTCAACGACAGTTTTGTCACTCTGTCTCTGGCTTAGCTCTTCACTGGGACTCCCAGACCAGCTCCTGCTGCAAACCCATTATTTCTTCTCTCTCAACTCTTGTTTTTGACTCTTTTCTTTTTAGCCTTTACTAAAATGACCCATCTTAAAACCAAAATTATCTTCCTTTGGCTCTTCCCAGTCTTGAAGCTCTTCCTCCCTCTCCATCTTGAAGGAGCAGACTTGTTAGCCGTATCTCAGGAACTGTTACCATTCGGCTTCTGTTTCTACCATGACGAAGCCCAACCACGGGGATTCTGAAGTCTCCAAGGGCTTTAAATGGTTTCTATCAGCAGGAAACAAAAACAAAAACAAAAACAAAAACAAAAACAAAACAAAAACCGAACAAAAAACCGAGTACAGATCTCAATGTCTAAATACTTTCTTATAAATTATATATGTATGCTAATGTATGAGCATATTATGCATACTAGGAAAAGTAAACCAAAATAAACGCTTAGGAGATGGGTTAAATTTAGAAGTTGGAGTGTTTTTCCCTAGGGGAGTCTCCTGCAGTCTTCTTTGACCTCACTGATTATTTCAGTCTATTTTATTTTGTTGTTAAGAATAATATATATGTTATGGATATAGGTATGTGAGAGCAGATGCCTGCAGAGGTAGAGATTTGAAGAATATACCTAGTCTCAAGATGAGGCCTCTGCTTTTTTTTTTTTTTTTTTTTTTTTTTTGATTTTTCGAGACAGGGTTTCTCCATAGTTTTTAGTTCTTGTCCTGGAACTAGCTCTTGTAGACCAGGCTGGTCTTGAACTCACAGAGAATCGCCGGCCTCTGCCTCCCGAGGCAGTGCGCCACCACCTCCCTGCGAGGCCTCTGCTTTTTGAAACAAGGTTTATCTCTGTAGCCCTGGCTGTCCTGGAACTCACTTTGTAGACCAGGCTGGCCTCAAATTCACAGAGATTCACCAGCCTCTGCCTCCCGCGTACTGGGATTAAAGGCGAGTGCCATCACTGTTGCCTGGTCCGTTGTTTGTTTCTGTTTTATTGATTTCTGCCCCTATCTTAATTGTTATTTCTCCCCATCTGCTGCTTTGGGGCTGGATTTGTTCCCTTGATACTTCTTGGTGTTCGTCTGTGTTGCCGTGTGTGTAGTTCACTGAATGTGGTGTTTTGTGTGTTGTGTGAATCCATTGTGTGAATGTACTATAATACGCATTTGTCCACTGAGAAACAAGTAAGTAGTTCTCAGTGGTAAGCTGTTGTGACGGAAGACGCCTTGAGCATTGACACCGGAGGCTCTCTAGAGAGACGCTTTTCTTTCTTACTGGTAAATTGCCCTGGAGCGGGATTCCTGGGTTGTATGTAAGTTGTCAGTAGGCCAGTGTGATGTTTTATATGCATAGAATCTCAGCTTGGGAAGTGGGGTCAGGATATGGAGTTTAAGGCTAGCCTGGACTATGTGAGGATGTTTCAAGAAAAGCTAAACAACAAATGAGCAGAGAAGCTGCCAATGTTGTTAGTCCTTGTCACTGTTTGTGTCCTTGTCTTCAGTGTTCTACTTGCTCCAAATCCTTGTCAACACTTAGAATTTTCAGAAGGTTTGTTTGTTTGTTGTTTAGCTATTCGAGTGGAGAAATCCCACCTCAAAGTTGAGAGTATATTCAGTGGTAGAACTCTGAGGTCTCTCTCTCTCTCTCTCTCTCTCTCTCTCTCTCTGTGTGTGTGTGTGTGTGTGTGTGTATGCGCACAGGCACATCTACTCACGTGTCTGTCACAGAGTACCTGTGGAGGTCAGAGGTCAGCTTTTCTGGACTCGGTGCTCCAGGCTAGCTTCCCCTTGAGTGTCTAGCTAATTCTGTCTCCCTCCTATCTCACTGTAGGCGTGCTGGGATTATAGATGCACGTATGTGAATTCCAGGCTGGGATTACAGATGCACGTATGTGAGTTCCAGGCTGGGATTATAGATGCACGTATGTGAATTCCAGGCAGGGATCTCGAACACCAGTTCATTTTGTGGGCGGGTACAGCAAGTGCTTGTATATACCGAGACATCTTACCAGCCACTTAGTTAGTTTTTGGGGTAGGGTTTCATCACACAGTTCTTATCTGGTCTGAACTTGTAGACTAGGCTGACATCACATTAATGGTGATACTTCTGCGTCTGTGTCCCAGGCAGTGGGATTTCAGACAGAGTCACCATGCCCAGCTGTTGCTGCTCCTCATCCTCCTATGAAAAAGATCTATTACTTTGGTTGGTTTAGGAGTTAAGAGTACTTTTTGTAGAGGACTAGATTTTTTTTCCCCCAGTACCCACATGGCAGCTCACAACTGTCTATAATTTTAGTTGCAGAAGATTCAACTTCATTTTCTGAATTCTGTGGGTACTGGACATGCATGTGGTGCATGAAAATAAAAATGATTCTTAGAAATTGTATTATTTATATATTTGTTTTGTTTGTTTGTTTGAGACAGGGTTTCTCTGTAGCTTTGGAGCCTGTCCTGGAACTAGCTCTTGTAGACCAGGCTGGCCTCAAACTCACAGAGATCCACCTGCCTCTGCCTCCCAAGTGTTGTGGTTAAAGGCATGTGCTACCACACCAAAACAAAAACAAAAAGCCCATTTGCTTTTTTTACCCTAATAATCATAGCTTGATATTATAAAATATATTTTAATAGTGTCCTAGTTTCATTTCTGATACTGTGATAAAGCATCATGACTGAACCCAGCTTAGGGAAAAGAGGGTTTATTTCATTTCCTAAGTCCATTATTGAGGGAAGTCAGGTCAGAAATTTGAAGGTAGGCCTGCTCACTATTTCACCTCTGACTAATGAACTCACTTCATAGCTAAAGTATTAAGTGCAAAAAAAAAAAAAAAGTGTGTGTGTATCTGTGCATCTGTATGTGTTTATCTCTGTGTGTGTGTTTATAAGACACCTGCAGGAGAGTCAGTTCTCTCCTTTTATCCTGTGTGTGTCCGGAGGATTGAACTTGGGTCACTGGACTTGGCAGCAGGTGCCTTTACCCGCTCAGCCGTCTTGCTAGCTCCACTACTGTGATTTTAAATTCATCAACCCATTTTCTCTAACCGGCTCTGAGGCTTACCCAGTTTGTTTTGTTTTTCTTTGCAGAGGTGACCTTTCCCACTTCCTGTTCTGTCCCTGCCGTGCTTTCTCTTAATCTTTGTGGAGCTCAGCATCGTAAGTGCGCTTGGTGTCTGTGTGCTCGTCTGTCGGCTGCTCCCTTCGACGGCCTTCTCTCTCACCATGGGCTGTGCTCTTCCAATTCTTTGCAGAGCTGACAGCTCTGGCTTTGGATGTTGTGAGTTCTGTATTGGTGCATGCTGGACTTTTGCATCTCCGTAGTTGTTGTTTGCACTTTGTTGGTCTGGGACTCAGCGAGTTCCTTGGAACTAGTGTGATCCCTGTGAGCCTGCTTTTCAGCACGGTTAGGGTAAGTCTAGAATAGTGTTTATCTACACCAGAGGTTACTGCACTATGCCCCACAGTCCAGCGACCTGCGTTGGGAAATAAAGTTTTATTGGGACACACTACGGCTATCTGTTGACATCTTGTTTGTAGCCGCTTTAATGCTCTGGGCATTGCAGCAGTGACCCTGTAACCCACAGCCGGAAATACTTAGTATTAAAGGAGAAGTTTGCCAATATTTTGCCGAAGTTAATTTGGGCTCAGCAGGGAAAGATCTGCGCGGAGAGACAGTACCCGAGACTGTCTGTGTTCGGAGGTCCTTCTAGTCTGGTTGGGTGGACTAGGAACCATTGCTTCCCCGAGCAAGCTCCTCCATTGACCTGCCTCCTCCCTCCTCCCTGCGGTGGCCCTGGACCCCTTTCTGGACAGGGTGCTACTTTATTTTTGTTTTCCTCCTTTCTCAGGGAAGCCCTGTCTTGTGCTTGCTTTATCCAAAAACTTGCCTAATGTCTGAAAAAAATGTTGTTTTATACATTTTGTGTTGGTTTCTTATGGCTGAAGACTGATGGAACTTCTCTTGTTGTTTGAGGCAGACTGCTAAGTGGCCCAGGCTGGCCTTAAACTCATCATCCAGCTGAGGCTGGCCTCAGACTCCCAGTCCACCTCTCTCTACCTCTCGTGTCTAGCCCAGTTTAACGAACCCTTTGTTTTGTGGCTTCCTTCTGCCTCCCCATAGCTGCAGCCACCACCAGGATGGACATGTAGTGAATACTTGGGGACTACGCCGTAATCTCCAGTGTAGCAGCGAGATGCTATGATAGGGAGAGCTTGAGTTTTCTGGGGCGGATGATTTCTGACCTTTTTAAATCTCTTGATACACCTCTGGGATGTGTCAAGGACTTTATACCTCTGATCTCCCACCATGCTCTTAGGTGGTAGGTACTGCTGGTTAAACCATTTTTATTAATGGGGAAACTAAGATTCAAAGACATTGCCACTCTTCCCAGATGGACCAGCGAGGTTTTGGGCCCACGTTGGTGTGGCCAGCCTAAGCCAACCAGCCAGCTGCTCTGGTTTCCCAAAGATTTCCTGAGTTTAACACTGAACATTGCTGTGTTGACTGGGAAACTCATCAGTCTTGGGCAGACTGAGGCTGTTGGCACCCTAGGAAAATGTCATTTCCCTTGGACTTTTTTTCTACAGCTGTGTCGTATGTTAGATGTCAGAGTATTTGTAATTGTGCCCGACACACCGTAAGTGCTTCAGAGTGGGGGCCGTCATTACCAGTCCTTCTTCCAGTCGTTCTGATTCCATCACTAGGAATATTTATGACTTTTATGGCTACCCAGCAGGAGAATATCACTTCTACCTTATGAGGCAGGACCTTTCCACCTTTCTAGAGGCCTATCCCACCCAGGTGTTAACAGGACCTAACTCATATTTCTTCCGGAAGTGGCACTGGGGATATAGGCTAGTGGTAGAGCACTTGGCTAGCACTTACATGCATGCATGCATGCATGAATGCAGTTTCTCCCAGAAGCGGCGTTGCTGGAGTCCCTAATTTGGGGTCCACAGTGACTTTGTAGGTCAGAACTATTGAGACGACTCGATTTTGTTTGCGCCAGCTCTTGGATACTTTGCAGCATCGAATGTGGAAAAGAGGAAGTAGCTTTATTTTGCTCCCAAGTCAAAATTTGTGGGAAACAGTCTCGGTTAGGACTCAGCTAGAGAGGCAAAACCGTGGGAGATTGTATATCTGAGAACTGTCTTATACCGAGGCTGAGGTGGCTGCGCGGTTGGATGGGAAGTGGCTGGAATATACAGAGAAAAGATCGTGATGCATGGCTGTGGCTGTACAGCTGCCTGAGAGAGGATGTTTGGGAAAGGAAGGGAAAAGCCACAGGGAACCCACTGCCCGATGGAGTCTGTCAGTCTGTCTGTGGGTTCATCTGCTAGCCTCCTTCCTTCCTTCCTTCCTTCCTTCCTTCCTTCCTTCCTTCCTTCCTTCCTTCCTTCCATCCTTGGAAGACCTCAGTCCCTCTGCCTACTTGAGTTGATCCTACTGAGGATAACCTCTTTGGTTAAAGTCACCTAATTAGGACCTTTAATGAAATCTATAAAACTTTTGTCCAACAGCATGACAATTAGGGCCTGATGGCCGACCTGGGGGAGGGGTGGGTATGGTAGACAATGACTGCTTGCTCCCTTCCGTCTCTGTTGTGTAGTCTGGGACCTCAAGATCAGCTCTAGTGTTTGTGGACGCATATTGTTTCTAGAAGTTAGAGTAATACCTTCTGTGTGGGTGAGGTCACTTGATTGTACCTGGTTACCTCCTATTCAGGTGGGTTTTGTTTAACTCTTACCAAGTGATGGGACCAGGATTTGAGCTGAAGCCAGAATCTGTGCTCTCAGCCTTCATGTTCTGCTGAGACTCAGTGTGGCACTGGGACATAGTCACCCCTTAGACACCCCTGTCTAAGTGTAGGAGGACAGAGTCTCTGTTGGATTGCATGGGCCTTGGTTGGTCAGAAAGAACAGGGACATGCACTCTAAGGGTTATGATCTCCCTCTTAAGTACTGAACCTTGGTTTCTGCTTCCAGCATCCTTTCCAGGCCATCAAGAGTCCCACGAGCCATCTAAACTTTGAAACCATACAGACTTCCTTTCCTGCTTTGTACCACGTTCCTGCTTATCCAGAGACACCAGATTCCTGAAGTTTTCCTCTTTCTTGGCCAGGCTCTCACAGAACCTTCTTTATGAACTCTGCCCCTCCCCCAGCTCCTTAAGTCATGAACACCTGCACACAGTCATAGTTAGGTTTCTGTTGCCATGGCAAAGCATCGACTAAAGGGGCAAAAGGAACTCAAGGCAGGAACCGAGGCAGAGGCCATGGAGGGATGCTGCTTACTGGCTGTCTCTCTAAGCTTTCTTACACAGTTAGGGGTCTCAGCCCACAGTGCGCTGGGCTCTCCCATATCAATCGGTAATTTTAAAAAAATGCATCACAAGCTAATCTGGTGGGGGTGGGGTGTTTTCTCAATCAAGGAGCCCCCTTCTCAAGTGACTCTAGGTTGTGTCAAGTTGACCATCCCCCAAAATGAAAACAAACTAAAACTAACCAGGACATAGGTATCAAAGCCATGCTTACTGTGATGAGCATGGCACCAACTTCTAGGGAGATAACATTTGTGGGTAAACACTCAGAACCTCCAAACTCTCCATTCTCCTGCCCTAGAGAAAGGGATAGAAAAGAGATGCCACACGACACAGGAAAGTCAGGCCCCCCACGTCCCTCATACTGCTTCTGTTCCCTTCTTTGTTCAGCAGATAAATACAAGACTGCGTGGTTTTCCTTGTATAGACAAACACATTAAAATAGTTGACGTCAGCGAAAGTCTCCCTTTATCAACATCCTGTATCTTCCCCCCCTCCTCTTTCCCAGTCTACCCCGGAGATGACCCTTGCTGTCTGCTCAGTGTGTACCTTTCTAGGTTTTCATTCCATGCATTTACGAACAGGTAAGTATGCTGTTTGGAAAGAATTTATGATTATATAAAGTGGTCATTCTATGTTTATTGGGAAGCTGGGAGGATGAATCATTTTTATGTGTTTCTTCCCCAGTTTCCTTGCTGCCTTCCCCAATACCTGTGGCCTTCCTAGGCACAGTGACTGGACAGACGAAGCAGGTCACGTGTCTGGATTCTAGTTCGTACCAATGAACCATGTAAAATGGGCGAGGACGTTGGAGCTTGTTATCTGTGTCATAGGCTTGGTCTCTGCAACAAAAGAACACAGGCCCAGTGTCAGCTGCAGAGGTTTTGGTTCCCACAGTTGGGGGTTGGGACGTCCAAGGTCAAATGCCAACGTGGTTGGGTTTTAGTGAGGGTCCTCTTCCCAGCTAGCAGTTACCTTCTCATGGTGTCTTCATAATGCGGGGGTCGGGGATGGGGAGTAAAGAGGGAAGGAGGAGATGCCTTCCTATCTTTAAAACAAAAGATGTATGTAGTTCCTTTATTATTTTAAATTATGTGTGGGTGTGTTTGTCTGCATGTGTGTATGTGCACGTGAGCGCAGGTGCCCATGGAGGCCAGAAGCATCCAATACCAAAGAGCTGGAGTTATAGGCAGTTTTGCACTGCCTGGCACAGGTTAGGGGACTAAATTCTGATCCCCTGGAAGACCGAGTGCTCTGACTGCGGCTGAGCCACCTCTTCAGCCGCACACGCCTGTTCTTAGAAGGTGAATTTTGAAGGGACAGCATTTAACCCGCAGCCTTACCTCAGGGCCACCGTATCCAGAGCTGAGCTTCTCCATTCTCCATTGCCCCAGGTTCGGGGCTCTGCTCTAGGGAGTCCTTTCTAGGATGTTTGTTGACGCATGCGCTTCTTCCAGCAGAGTGACTTGCCTGGACTTGAGGGAAGCCGAGGGCCTCCCCATGGCCTCCGTCCCTAGCATTCCATTTGAATTAGTGGAAATTTCAACCACCACGTTGTGAATGGTTCCAGATGTGCAGGCCTGGAGAGTGAGATAGCTGGAAAAGGCAACTTAGCACTCAGAGTTCAGCTAGGCTTGGGGTGGGGGCACGGTCCCAGCACCAAGGACCTGGGATGGTGACACCACTGTGGTGGGATGGCTCCAGCCCGATAAAATGGGGAGCCTGACACATGTCCTGGTGAAACAAGTGGCGTGCCAAAGCCAATTAGTGAACCTAGTCCCTTGGCCCGGATCTTGGTTGGCTTGAAAAGGACAGGACAAAGACTGAAGGAAATAAAGTCCACACAGAGTTACCAAGGAGAGACAAGTGTCCACTGGGGGATTTGAGGGCTTCAAAGGAAGAGCTGTGTGAAAGGCCCATGTGGAGATTCTGTGGTGGGGACTGTGAGTCTCCCGGGATGCTCTGAGACACGTCTCAGAGGGCAGGATGAAAGAGAGTGAAGCTGGGCTTTCGGGTAGATGGCGTGGATGAGGCGTGTGGGGGCAATATTAGCGGAAATGAGCTCCTGACTTCTTGTGGCAAGGATGCTCGGAAGAAAGCTAGACATGAAGACGGCATGCATTATCCTGAGAGGAAGTGTCGGCTAGATATGGGGAACCATGTGGCAAGGGGCCTGCCGAGCTAAGCCTGCAGAAGGCAGAGGGTTGGTCGAGGGACCAGGAGCCCAGGGTGGTGAGGCTGACCACACGCCCACTCTCGTCGTGGCTTGACTTAGGTCAGCTGTGAGTGTGGAATTAGGGACAGTCACTTGTGTGGTGCCAGATAACCACAGTGGCAAAGATCACCATCAGCGGCAGAGAGGAGGGGTACCGGGGGGTTTTGATTCCAGACCTGTGATCAGACAGCCCTCAGCACTTTTCTGGGGGGTGATAAAAATAGTACAGTCAGCCCTCCGTATCCATGGCTCCCACCGTCACAGATTCAGACGACTGTGGATGGAAAACATTCGGAGAAAAATTAAATCTAGACTGAAAACACACCAACTTTTTCCTTGTCATTTTTTAAACAAGACAGCATAACCATTTAGTAGCATTTACCTCATGTTGGGTATTATGAGAAATTTACAACACGAAAGGATGCATGCAGATACCACATCATTTTACACCAGGGATGTAAGCAACTGAGGAGTATGGTACCCTTAGGGGTCCTGGTCCATTCCACTTCAAGGGGACTGAGTGAGGGGCTAGAGAGATGGTCCTGATAAGAATACTAGCTGCTATTTCAGAGGACCCAGGTTCAATTCCCAGTACACACATGGCTATTGGGGACTATTATTTTCAGGTGTGTTACTTTTGTTTATGCTGCGTTTGACAGTGAAGCTGTGATGAGTTGCCTGTCTAAAACACCTGATAGTCCTAATAAAGAGATGAAGCAAGGGTAGGCGGGGCTGGCAGGCAGAGAATATAAAGAGAGAAAGAGGAGCACGAGAACGAGAGGAGGACACCAGAGGCCAGCCACCCAGCTACACGGCAAGTCATGGAAAAAGAAGTAAGTAAGGTATACAGAAATAGAGAAAGATAAAAGCCCAAAGGCAAAAGGTAGTTGGCATAATTTAAGATAAGAGAAGCTGGCAAGAAACAAGCCATGCTAAGGCTGGGCATTCATAAGTACTAATAAGCATCCGTGTGATTTATTTGGGAGCTGGTCGGTGGGCCCCTCAAAAAGCCAAAAGAGTAAAAGATCCTACAACACGTGGTAGATCACAACTGTCTGTAACTCCGGTCTCAGGGGCCTGGAACCTTGTTCTCAACTACATCGATACCTGGCATGACTGTGGTGCATAGACATGTGTGCAAGCTAAATAACCACATGCATAAAAATAAATAAAATTAATGAGAAAGAAAAAGAGGCCTGTGTGAGGAAGTACCTGGGAAGAGATTGAGCCATTCACGGCAAGCGCTCGTAGGTTCGGTTCTAACTGTCATGTCTCAGCAAAACAGATTGTGCCCTTATGACTAGGGAGGACATTTTACACCTCATGAATGAAAAAAGATAAAGGCACAAAAGAGAAACTGAATAATACAGCTGTAATCAAATGGATTTTGGCTAAAGTCACACAAAAGGGAAACTGTGGTGCAAGAGTTGATCAAATTAAGGGGATTAAACTGCGCAGCACGGGTGTGGGGTGGCCGAACAGGAGAAGGAGGAAGGAGTGAGTTTGACGTCCCTGTCACCCTTGTTGTCTGCTGCTGTCTTCTCATTAAGCGTGAGTTTGCACGGAGCTAGGTAGCCCACTCTGCTCTTGTGGGATTCACTGGCCACGCTGTGTTGATGTGGGTGTGGCCTTAGTATGAGGACTAAATGGAACAGATGGGAGGGATCAGGATCCAGCACAGCCTGATTCTGTCTCTGCGAAGACTCACTGGATCTTCTCTCTGGGAGGATTTCAGTGCACGCTTCAAGTATTTCCCCACGGTCATTCAGGAACCCTGCACCTGGGTTCCTGAATCTCGTCTTATTTTAGGAAAAAGGTTGCCTGGGAGACTTGGGGGGTAAAAGAAGAGGCACCCCATGAGATCACTGGGATCGTAGGAGAGCCGATGAAGCATAAGGAAGAAGACCCCACTCCCACCCCAACCCTTTCTAGACTGAGGGCACACTGAAGAGATTCAAATCAGTGTCCCTTAGGTTTTAGTGTGTTTAGCAGCCACACTGGAGCAGGTCGAGGGACTTTCCTTTCTGTTAGCTACCCCAGAAAGTCTGCTACAGGTGGTCCATAGATGACAGATTGAAAATTTCTGGGCTAGAGAAAGTCCACTTCGCCGGGCGGTGGTGGCGCACGCCTTTAATCCCAGCAGAGGAGGCAGAAGCAGGCAGATCTCTGTGAGTTCGAGACCAGCCTGGTCTACAAGAGAAAGTCCACTTCTTGGTTTTGACCATTCGGAAAGCAGGGCCACAGGTCAAAGCTAAGGCAGCCATTCTTGTTTGGAAGGTGACATTGCAAGGTGAGTGATGGATCAAACAAAACATTGGCACACACACACTTGACAGGTCACTACCTTTTCTGAATGAGCCATGAAGGTCACACAGTGTTCTGATATTTGACTCCAGGCATATATATCCAGCGAGCAAATATCTCAGCTTAGTTAGAGAAGACGGTGAAGGTCTGGGTCTCCCTGCTCTTTCCTGACTCTTCTACAGCAGTTAAACATGCACTGGGAGCCGACAGCTATACCTTGCAGGGTTGGGTCACCTGTCCTTTCCAGAAGCCAGATCTCAGACTCTTGGAAGGAGAGTGTCATCATGACAGATGCAGTGATGGCCAGAGAGAAAAGGAGGCAGTGGAGGTGTGTGAGGGTATGCAAGTTGGTCCCCAGTGGAGTAAAGATGCCAGCCTGAGAAAGGTACATGGTTTGCTCCAGGATAAATTGTCATTTTGAAGCTGAATATTCCGAAGAAAGATCTGTAGAGAAGATAACCTAGTCATGTTAATCATGATATTAAGAGAAGCCTAGAATTTGGACCTAATGTAAATACCTATCTTTTTTTTTTTTTTTTTCCATCTTGTTTCTCACCCCAGAATAACTTCTGGTAATAGACGACACTGCCAATCAAATGTTACTCGTGAGAAATTGCAGAGTTTGTCAAAAGGAGCTTCATATGATAAAGGTATCACTTGTTTATATCTGAATCACCCCTGCCCCTTCCCTAGCTCAACCGCCTAATATACGGTCTCACCTGGACCAGGAAACAAGTTTGTGAGTCTCATCCAGATCTCTCTCCAACAACCTGGAAATTCACAAGACGCTCCGACAGGAATGTAAAGATAATTATTGCCATTCTTGAGGGCTTCCAACTGCACGCTGGGTTCCAGAGAGTAGTACCCTTGTTTCACGTTTGCATGAAGCTTGCCATCTGTGAATTGCCAGATCTTGGCTAACATTAAACGCTGGCAAGTGGCATTAATCTGTCACAGAAATGGGGGAATTTAGTCACAGGAAGCAAAAATAACTGAGCATGTCACCTAAGGAGTCTGCAGGAAATAGACAATTAAATGCACTTTCTACGACCACTCTGAGTCTTTAGGAAGTGTTCGTGGACCTTAGGTTTGGTGGCACATTCCAGCCATTTGGGAGGCCAAGGCAGGATTGCTTTTCCCTAGGAGTTGGAGGCCAGCCTGAGACCCTGTCTCTGAAAAACTAAAAATATTTCAGGCAGCTGAGATCTAACCATAGGAAGAAACACCAGTTTAACCAGATAAAGATTACTAAATTCTGAGAAATTGATTTTAGAGAAGTGGGGGGGGGTTACTTGTGGGCAGAGTGTAAAAAAGCTAAAGTTGTTTTTAATGTATTTCAACTACTTGTGAAAATAGAGGAAGAATGGAGAAGGATGGGCAGGTGACTGGTGTCCTGAAGTTAAAGGATGGAGGGGTGAGTGATGTAGAGTTCTTCCGTGTCTGTAGGAGGCATAGATTCAAGAAGAAAAGGTTTTGAGCAACGGAAAGGGCAGGCTTGTGAGCAGGAGGAACCGGGATGCTGCTAAGTGTCAATCAAACAAGGCGATGAAAGAGACTGTCGCAGGAGGTGGAGGTCATCCGTGCAGGAAGGGACAGAAGAGGTGCCAGTCATATACAAGGAAAGGGAAGAGGCTTTCATCAGGGGAACATTTGAGAGGGAGGTCTACAGTGCTCAGTCTACAGCTAAGGCCTTAGGGAGCCCCAGCTACACCTGAGACAGCGAACGAGAAGATGAACTTGTCACTTGGCTGCCGTGGGACGTCTGTGCACACCTGTGTGTGACCAGCTGGCGAAGGTGGTGGGGCCAATGCTTTGTCTCCAGCAGCTCTTCCAGTTCTGCGTTGTTTGGCTCGGGTGGCGATCTCTGGGGCCCCTTGGAGGCTGTCTCGAGTGTGGTCCTTGTAGGGCTGTGCAATTTTAACTCTTGCCTCCAATCTTATTTTTGCCAGACAGGATGATTTTATTTGTAAATTGATAGGAAGCCCAACTGGAGCCAATGCAAACACAAAAATAACTTATTAACTTTATAGTCCTTAAAAAAGTCCTGAGTGGATTCTTTCCGGAATGGCCTTGTTCACCAGGACAACTGCCCACTCTGATAGCTTCCTTCTTTCTTTCCTCAGTTCTGTCTCCCCTGGGATGCCTCTTTTCAGATCTCTTCCTCTCCATGACAACTGTGAACGATACTTTTCACCCTGACTCGGAGAGATAACATGTCTCCCCAAATGTGCAGTGGGTA